GTGACCATATTTCCATTTCCAAACAAGAGGACAGGGGATCTGTGCCAATGACGTCACACTATGGCAACACCACACAAACCATGTTGGGACCCATTTTTTGTAAGAACTAAATTATGATCAGATTCTGCCAATTAAAGGGTTCTAAACAATTCATATGTAAATATTTTGCATATTTAATGCAAAATCTAATTTTTCTGCTTTAGTGCTGCAACAAGGTTTTATTAATAATAAATTATTATACCTTTTGCTTTACTACAGCATCGGTAAGCTTCCTGTGCACAGATTATTAAGGATGCTTGTTTCTGCTGTGAGATTAGACGATAGGATCAATGAAAAAATAAGTTGTCACACACTCCATGGAAACTTTCAGAGAATCCACAAATGGTGGCTTTCACATGGTTTTGTTACTTTTAAAAAGTTTAGAAAAGCAGCAGATGAGACAGCATGTCTGATAATTTAGTTTTTCATCTGATAATATTAGAACATGTCAGTAATGTCTGAGGGGCTTTTATAAACACCGTATAACTAACACTACTGGAGAGGGCATGAATTACACAGAGGCTTCTGGGGAGCCCAGTTATTGGGGGGGGGGGGGCGCATTTTGCCTTGGCCCCCAAAATGTCTTGAAACGGCCCTGGGTGTGTGACTGAGTTTTGAAGGTGATCTGAATTGTATCAGATGTATAAATATGACATGTGTATAACTTATTGTTTTTTACTGGTAAAAACGTGTAGTGGAGATAAATCTACCTACATTTTACTTTTCAACACTTTGTTTTGTTTTCTTGTTTTTATTGAACTATATTCCTGTCCTGTCTGTCTCTCATCTTCCTGCATCTCCTCTTAATTCTCCAGAAAATCTGTTGCCTGGATTCTTACCTTTTCACCTCATCAGTTACTTTTGAGCAGATCAAAGGGATCTCCTGACCACACGAGAGCGCGTTTTCGATGCTGCATGAGGTGACATCACCACAGCACAGGTGATGAGCTCCGCAGTAGCGCGCTTCAGGCACAAATAAGACAAAATAGAGAACATGTGCGGACATGAACGATCGTGTGCTAATTATAGTTTTTTGGTTGCGCCACTTTGAGAATGGACCGTGCGCTGGAAGCAGCTGCCTGGATCGCTGCACAACAATGCGGAACCGGTAAGCAGCTGCGCAAGTCTGCCGGCTCTCCCTCGCGCTGATCTGCGTCTCTACCTCGCGCTGATCTGCGGCTCTCCCTCGCGCTGATCTGACTTGCTCTGGTCTGCGCGCAACGGCGGGCGGGAAGGGGGGGGGGGGCGCTTTTGGAAGAGTTGTGCGACACAACGAATCGATGACGCAATTCGTTGCCAACGCTTTTAGTAATCGATTTTCATTGAATTTATCGATTCGTTGTTGCAGCCCTAGCCGAAGCATCTTAAGCATTTATCTATTAAAACATTTTAATGCTGGAAGAGAAAACTCAAAAGTCTGCAGATACCGTGTGTGCAATGTAGTGTATTCTTTCCTATTAAAAATGAATAAAAACACGATTTTATATGATTTAAAGCAACGATATGTTCCTTTTTCCAAGACCCTGCAGCCAGGAGCACTCATCATGGCTATGGGGAAAATTTGAGTGAATCCTTGTGATCGGTATTGGTGATCACCACTAATCAGCACTCATTGGTGATTGGCAGCAAAAAACCTGATCGGAGCATTCCAAACACTTTTACCCCAAACTAGAAAACCTGGATGTATTTATGACTTTAAATACCATGAAACATAAAGTGTTTTTTTTGACAGCAGTAAATTTAGCTGTGGAGCAAATTATGAGTTACAAACTGTGAAATAAACCTGGATGGTGGGAACTTTCTACAGCTGAATGAAGATAAGACTGAGATCCTCATCTGTGCCCCAGACAAGCTGGTTCCGTCAGCTTGCTTCTCACACCAAACCCTCCGTCAGGAATCTTGGCGTGACCTTTGACCCAGCTCTCACCCTGGATTCTCATGTCAGTTCTCTTGTTCGCTCTTCCTTCTTCCATCTCAGGAACGTTGCTAAGCTGAGTCCCATTCTGTCCCACTCTGAACTTGAGACAGTTCTCCACTCCTTCATCTCCTCACGCTTAAGACTACTGTAACTCTCTTTTCACGTGTCTGAGCAGAACCTCCCTGAACCGTCTACAGGTGGTTCAGAATGCCTGTGCTTCGCTTCTGACCAAATTGTCAAAGTACACTCACTTCACGCTGCTTCTCCTCCAGCTTCACTGGCTGTCAGTCAACTTCAGGGTCCATTTCAAGATCCTCGTTCTGGTTTTAAGGATATGCCATTTACACACTAGCATCGGCTCCACTCCACTCCGCTCCGTCTCCCCGCGTTCTCTCCACACTGCCTTAGCAGCGAAGGGCTTTACCGGTCAGGAAACGGCTGGTAGTGAATGAGTTAAACTGATGTTATGCATTATGGGGCTCCCAGGGTGCAGATGAGTTGGTTGCCAATGCTCACCACATTATTATGAAATTAACAATGATTACTGTTTGATGACCCATCCATCCATCTTCTTCCACTTATCCAGAGTCGGGTCGCAGGGGAAGCAGCCTAAGTCGGAAGGCCCAAACTTTCCTCTCCCCAGCCACTTAGGCCAGCTCTTCTTGGGGAATCCCAAGGCATTCCCTGGCCAGATGAGAGACATAGTCCCTCCAACGTGTCCTAGGTCTATCTTTAGGCCTCCTCCTGGTTGGATGTGCCCGGAAAACCTCCCCAGGGAGGCGTCTGGGAAGCATCCTGATCAGATGCCTGACCCACCTCAACTGGCTCCTCTCAATGTGGAGGAGCAGCAGACCTACTCACAGCCCCTCCCGAATGAAAAAGCTTCTCACCCCATCTCTAACCCCAAAATTCCACTATCTCCGCTCCGCCCCCGCCTTCCGCTGCTGCTCGCTTCCGAACTCAAATTATACTGTACCCGCTCTACAACGGCTCCGCTCCGGAGACCTGAGGTGGGCAAACAGGCATGCGCGGGATTGCAGAGATCTTGCGATACAGTCCGAGCAATAAACGCGGAAGTTAGATCCAAACACCCGTTGTGTGGGAGAAACATCGAAATGAACTGTTTAATCTGCCCATCATTTGTGTTGAGAGATCAGCAGTGTTTGGATCAAGAAAGTGTGACTTCTTTGATAGTGGAAACTGTATTTATGGCTTACTTTTGTGCATTTAAAGTTCAACTGCCATTGATAGTTGTTAAAAGTTGTTAAACCTGTGCATATGAAACAAAAAACGCTTTTTGTTTATCGATTTATTGTGAAAAAACGGAAGTTGTGCTTGCTCCCTTTCCTGTTGGGCAGTTGTGATTTCTGTCCATTGACTGCGGAGGTGCTCCGGCGTCCGGCAAAAATAGAATCGATCCTATCTTTGCCAGATGGCGGAAAGGCGGGCGGCGCACTGCGCCGCACAGCCGCAGTAGTAGAACAGCTCTGATTGACTACAATGGGACCGTTTTTGCTGCGGAGTTCGTGCCGGAGCGGAGATAGGGGAATTTTGGGGAAAGAGCCCAAACACTCTGCAGAGAAAACTAATTTCGGCCGCTTGTATCCACAATCTCCCCCTATAGTTGGAACACACCCTGCGGCCCCCCTTTTATAAATAGGGGAACCCCCACCCCGGTCTGCCAGTCCAGTGGAATTGCCCCCGACGTCCACGCGATATTGCAGAGCTGCGTCAGCCAACACAGCCCTATAACATCAAGAGCCTTAAGGAACTCCGGACAGATCTTATCCACCCCTGGAGCCTTGCCACAGAGGAGCTGTTTGACCACCTCAGTGACCTCAGCACCAGAAATTTGAGCCCAACTCACAAGTCCTCAGACTCTGCTTCATCACTGGAAGACGTGCCGGTGGGATTGAGAAGGTCTTCGAAGTATTCTGCCCATCAATCCACAACGTCCTGAGTAGAGGTCATCAGCACACCATCCCCACTATAAATAGTGTGTGTAGTGCACTGCTTTCCCCCCTGAGGCGCCGGAAGGTGGACCAGAATCTCCTTGAGTGCTTGATGACATTTTCCAAAATCTGCAAATTTCACTGGAAGGACACAAACCGAGGACAATATTTTCCCCGATATAGAGGGTTTATTTTTAGCCTGGCCTGCCAGACTTGTCCTCTAATTATACACAGAGGACTTCCCATAAGGAAGCATGGGGCTGGCTGGCCAGGCTAGGTTCATTTAGTTGTCAGAAAATATCACACGTTCCTGGCACTATAATTAGTACATGTAATACCCTCGAAACGACCAACAACACATATTTATCATTAAATAATAAATAGAAGTGGGGGATACAGATTTTTATTTTGTCCCACTGAGAGAAACAAATTGGGTGCCCCTGATCCATAGGCAGGGCTGGGTAGTGTAACCAACAACTGTACTCAAACAAGACCAGCACTAATTCAACACCTTTTACTCAAGTAAAAGTAGCTATCCAAGAAATTACTCAAGTAAGTGTAAAAACAATTTGATTAGAAGGCTACTTGAGTACTGAGTATCATCTGATCTCATTTTTAAAATGAGGACATCAAACAGACACAAAAAAAAGTTATGGACCCATTTTGGTATTTTAGTGACTGAAGGAGAAAATGTAAACAAATAAACAACATAATTACAAAATAACCAATTTTAGGCTAAAGCTATAAAAACTGACGACAATTTTCCTGATATAAAGGGTTTATTTACTTGTCTGAAAATGTAACACGTTTTTAAAAAACGCAATAATACCGGAAACTGTGATAATTTCGGTCGCAATAACCGTGAGGTTAAATTTTCACACCGTGACAACCCTAATTGACACCACAAAAGATCCTCATTTAGATGTCACCTAACCGCTTCAAACACAGACATCTCCTTCACAGTCTTCTCTTTAGCCATACAATCATGAAAAGTGCAAACCTTCATGATTGCGAACAGTGTTCAGTTATGTGAAAAGAGAAAACAAAACTGGATGCACTAGAATAGTCCGATTGTGATTAGGGATACTTACATACAAGGGAGCTTGCTGTGGATTGAGTTTCATGTCCCTGGACACTGGAGAGAAAAGAAGAAATTACAGCTTAGAGTTTGTGGTATGCAAGTTATTGTACCGTCTGTTTTCAGGTTTGAAACAACATAAAAGCATCTCTGAAAGTTTCACTTTCTCCTTGGAACAGTTACATATTGATCACGTATTTTGAGCTGCACACTAAAGCACTGTTCCAGTGAAAACTGACAGGACATACACACAAACATTTACGTTAAACAGTGTTCCTTCGAGTGTGTTGCGTTGCTGCTATTAAACAAACCTATTGCATTAATCAAATGGGTTGTACAAGTCTTAGAAATTTTTGTTTTTGACCAACTTTATAACTACATTGACACTAACAAGATACTCTCAGTTTCAGTCTGGGTTTAGAAAAAACTTCTTTACTACATTTTTATTAATGACCTTCCCTTGTGCTGACCCACATGTACTGTTCACACGTACGCTGATGACACTATCTTATATTGTGCTAAACCCTCTGCATTGTTGACTGCCTTCAATTTTGACACCTTACAACACTAGTTAGGCCATTATAGACTTATTCTTAATAAAACTAAATCCTACTCAGTACTTTATCCGAGACCTTTGCTTCAGCTGCCTTGGGATCTTTAAACTTATTTTATTTTACTCTTTATGAGTAAAATGTGTGGATAAAGTCAAATACCTTGGTGTCTGGCTTGAGTCAGATCTATCCTTTAAAAGTTATATTTATATTCTTCTAATAAGGTTAATTAAATACAAAAACTCTGTATGGATCGATTAATTGCTTTGATTTCAAACTGAGTATTCACATTCCTAAACAACTTTTATTTCCTATCTTAGATTATGCAGATGTAGTCTATCATCCTTATTCCATCCTCTTGATGTTGTTTATAACAGCATTAGTCATTTTGTTTTACGATGCCTTTATTCAACACACCACTGCAGCATGTACGAAAGCCTGTCCTGGCTTTCATTAAAAGCCAGATGTAGATTTCATTGGTTAATCTTCATTTTTAAATGTAAATTCTTTGATTTTCCATCATATTTAAAAAGGTACTTGGTGCGCTCTAGTTGTCAGCATAACACAAGATTTAATGAGCATATTTATTTTGTTGTACCCAAGTTTAAAAAGAGGTGGGAAGCCTTGTTTTTAGTGTTAAGGCCCCACTGGAGTGGTATAATTCACCTGTTGACATACAATAAATAACTTATTTTAGACTTTTTCGGAACACTGTCTATTTACATGTATCACCCAGCTGTAACTGCTTCTAAGTTAGTTATTGTTATCTAGAAAGTATGTGAGTTAATATGGCGTTTAAAGCGTGCCACAACCCGTGCACGCGCATTGGGTCCACAGCGCGCGTGTGACCGGGACTCGCGAGCGGAAATATACATGGCGAGAGGTCATTTGTGCACTGAGAGGGAGCAAACTGTGTCTGTGAGCGCACAAGGATGTGCACAAGTGACAAACCTGCGTGCGCGCGTTGTCAACGAGCACACGGCAGAGGAAAACGTGCGCGCGCGGCAGCCTCTGTGCGCGCTCGGCAGCCTCTCTGCGCGCTCGGTTTCTGACTCCTGCTCGCTCGGCTGTAAGGGTTTTGGCACTCTGGAGGCGTGGCCTGTGGCAGATCTCCTCTGTCCTCTGATTGGTTAGTGTACCCCGCACTTTACCCTCTACCTATCTATATAAAAAAGTCTACTAGTCAAGTAGTTGCTGGCATAGCTCAGTTGGAAGAGCGGGTGACTCTCGCCCCGGAGGATCCAGGTTCGAGGCCGGGCAAGGAAAATGCAGTAGATGTCATGTTAATTTTTCTTAATTTCAGGTATTTTACAGTCGTGACCGTTCAACTGTCATTAAACGTCCGAATGTTTGCTGGGCAGTGTTTTAAAAAGTGCACATAAGCTAGATGGTTTTAACCATATAAAATTACATTTTTTGTGATACTGGAAAAATACATACTGAAATAAAACTACTGATTGAAAACTTTATGACTGTGGTTGTACAATATATGACTCACTAATACACTGCAAACTCCCTTAGAGTGGGGCTTCCAGAGAGAGAGAGAGAGAGAGAGAGACAGAGAGAGAGACAGAGAGAGAAAAGTTCTTGCCTCATTAATGAATTGTTTATTTTTTTCAGTATTTAATTGACAAATTATCCTTTCAAATAATTAATTGATGAGTTACATAATTGTCCATTTAGAATTGTTGAATGGACTGAGTCAAGTTTGGTGCACTTTATATATTTCAAAACATGTTTTTTTTTATTTTAATGATGCATTCTCCTTACCAACTTTTAAAATAGCCCACTAGTGAAGGCCTGGGCAAAGAAGCCTGATGTCTGAGAACCTCAACATATGTACGGCAACCACACTGTATATTTACACACTTTCATAAAGAAACTGCATATCAAGCTTTCATTCAGATGACCTTCAACAGTGCTGCACCCTGCTGAGGGACATCCGAGTAAAACCTTGAGATGGCCATTTTCTGTTCACTAACTTGCTTTAGTAAATCCTTACTTTTGTTAAATAAATCAGTTGTTGAACCCCCACTCCTCTGTTTGGTCTCCTTTCTTATTACAGCCCACCACTTCCAGTCTGGGTTGTAACAATCTGCAGACAGATTTCTGAGTATCTCCTCCTTTGGTATACAGATCCTCACTGAGCCATGTACTGTGAACAAATAGTTTCTCCATGATATTATCCAGCAAGGTCCCGTTTTTGTCAAAACAAGGGTGAGGTAATGAAAAAATAGAAATATTTCATTAAATTAACATTTAAATTATTTATATGCATCATTAAAATAAAAAAAAAAACATGTTTTGAAATATATAAAGTGCACCAAACTTGACTCAGTCCATTCAACAATTCTAAATGGACAATTATGTAACTCATCAATTAATTATTTGAAAGGATAATTTGTCAATTAAATACTGAAAAAAATAAACAATTCATTAATGAGGCAAGAACTTTTCTCTCTCTCTCTCTCTCTCTCTCTCTCTCTCTCTCTCTCTCTCTCTCTCTGGAAGCCCCACTCTAAGGGAGTTTGCAGTGTATTAGTGAGTCATATATTGTACAACCACAGTCATAAAGTTTTCAATCAGTAGTTTTATTTCAGTATGTATTTTTCCAGTATCACAAAAAATGTAATTTTATATGGTTAAAACCATCTAGCTTATGTGCACTTTTTAAAACACTGCCCAGCAAACATTCGGACGTTTAATGACAGTTGAACGGTCACGACTGTAAAATACCTGAAATTAAGAAAAATTAACATGACATCTACTGCATTTTCCTTGCCCGGCCTCGAACCTGGATCCCCCGGGGCGAGAGTCACCCGCTCTTCCAACTGAGCTATGCCAGCAACTACTTGACTAGTAGACTTTTTTATATAGATAGGTAGAGGGTAAAGTGCGGGGTACACTAACCAATCAGAGGACAGAGGAGATCTGCCACAGGCCACGCCTCCAGAGTGCCAAAACCCTTACAGCCGAGCGAGCAGGAGTCAGAAACCGAGCGCGCAGAGAGGCTGCCGAGCGCGCACAGAGGCTGCCGCGCGCGCACGTTTTCCTCTGCCGTGTGCTCGTTGACAACGCGCGCACGCAGGTTTGTCACTTGTGCACATCCTTGTGCGCTCACAGACACAGTTTGCTCCCTCTCAGTGCACAAATGACCTCTCGCCATGTATATTTCCGCTCGCGAGTCCCGTTCACACGCGCGCTGTGGACCCAATGCGCGTGCACGGGTTTTGACAGGGGTATGACGCGATAAGTTAAGCTAAGCTTTTTTTTTCATTGCATATTTTTAGGTAACTATAATTTTGTTTTGTTTTTTTTCCCTTGAAGCATTTTTTTTATTTTTGTTTGTTTTCTCAGCTGCTAACCATCTTGCCATCTCTCTATGTGCTGTATTGCTGAAGGACCCTGTCAAAAACAAGATGTTACATCTCAAGAGGCTTTATACTCCAAAAATATAAGTAAATAAATAAATAAAACAGTCTGTTACACTGATACTTAGAGTCTTATTATCTGACATTATGACAGGGAACCCCACCTTTCCCTAGGAGGTCCCCGGTTTAGTGTGTGGAGATGTTGGGTTGAGCTGAGAAGAAGAGGTCTGCAGCTGCAGATATGTTCCGGACAAAACACTATTATATTTATAAGTTTATGTTATAAAACCTTATGTTTATAGATGAACAATACTTACACCACATGTATGTAGGAATCGTATTGCACCATTGGCCATTGCAGGAATATATGAGACATTGTCCTATGAAAATAAATAAATCTACAATAATGAAGCAAGGCCCTTTTAGGCAAAGATTTAAATCAAATGTAATTAATGACAGCACACATGAATCTGTATTCTTCATGTTTCAATATATCATTTAAATATAAACAATTAGTGCTTTCCACATGATCATTATATAAATTAATAATTGCACAAACAGAAAACACTGTTTTATATCAGCGATATGATATTGTGATGACATCACACAGCCTTCATACAAAGCTAACAAAAACATGTTGTGTTGTAACAACAACGAATGGAGCAGCATCAATGTAATCAATCTGGCAAAGCTACTGCAGCTCGGTCATTTCAAGAGATTTTGTTGTTTATTTGGCCCAGATTGTGTAACAACTGCTTTGTGCTACAGCTGGTTCTTGCAGATAAAAGAAAAACTTGTTCTGGACACGTGGTCCAAATTCTAATCAACCAAATGCTGAAGTACAGAATCAACAGTCTGTTAAGATGACTGCTGCAGAACACAATACAAGCGCCGGTTCAATCGGGTTGGTGCAGATGCCTCCCATGTTTATGAGTAAAGTATAGTTAGCAATATGTTAGTAAGGTTTTAAGATCTCCTCTCAAATGGTCAACTATATAGATGTGCCTAAACCCTAGTGTCTGTTGTGTAACTTGGTTATAAAACCAATGTTGCTAAAATACAAAAACTGCATTCAAAGGAAATCAAACAGTTTTATTTAAAATGTTAAATAATGAGTTTGTTAGATAATTAATAA